GCTTGCCGAAACCGCGGACATCGCTCCTGCGCAGGCCGCCGTACTGGCCGAGCTGGCCAGCCTGATTGGGATCTTGACCCTCGACCTCGCTGGACACTTCGTCGGAACAGCCGGCCCGACCGACCACCTGTACCAGGCGCTCATCGAGCGACGAGTACGCGCTAGGCCTCCCATCAGCCTGATCATGCCCAGTTCATCGCAACGGAGTGCCGCCCCTCGCGTATCCCCGGCGATGGCTGGCAAAAGAGACGCACCATCCGCGACTAAGGCCACGACAACTACACCGAAGACCGGCGGTCTACTACCTATTGACCAACTCGTGATCAGACTCGGGGCGCTGTGGCTCCAGACCGCCGATCGTCTGGAAAAAAACCGCACGCCAACTACATCTGGGATGACTTAGAAACTCAACGGAGACCTGTCATCGATCGTCATTCTCCGCCCTAGCCCACGACCCGTGAGGGATTCGGAGTCGGAACCACCTGGGGCGAAATGAAGCGACTCACGGTGACACCCCCTATCGACCACGATCCCGGCCAGAAACCTGTCTTCCAATACGACACCGCCACTGATTCGTGGCTGACGTTCATGTTCTCGGCCGATGAACTCACCGACGATTCGGAGGTCGAGTACATCGAGGTCGCTCAGGGAGCTAAACCATTGCTCGGAAGGGGCGGCTGCTGAACACTCAGCGACTACCGGCCAAGAGCAGGGCGCTGTCACCGAATTCGTGCCACAGGTAATTTCGGCGATCCGCTACTACGAAAACCTCGGGCTCATCGAGGCCCAACGAACGCCCGGCAGTCGTCGCGTGTTCGCGCGCAACACGTTGCGGCGGCTCGCATTCATCCGAGCGGCATCCAACGTTGGTTTGAGCATCGACGAGATTGGTGCCGAACTCGCTTTGCTGCCCGCTGGCCGCAATCCGACGAAGGCCGATTGGGCGCGCATTTCAGCTGACTGGCGAGGCCGACTCGATGAGCAAATCACTGCACTCACGATGCTGCGCAACGGATTGGACTCCTGCATCGGCTGCGGATGCTTGAGCCTTAAAGCGTGCCGTTTCTCCAACCCCGATGATGTTCTTCAGCACAAGGGAGCCGGAGCCCGGTTACTTCCTAAAACGCTACGCGACTAGCCAACCAGTATGCCTAGCGCATTTTCGCAACCCAGTTCACCGCCGCACGACCATCTTTAACCCGCTGTTCCCAGGTCACACCCACGGCCACCAGCGCGACTCCGGTCGCGGCGATCAAAGTCCATCGCGGCAGTCCCCAAAGCAGCGGGCCGAAGTTGGTGAAAATCACCAGTGCAGCAATGCAAGCACCGAGCACGAAAGGCGCCTGCCAGCGGCGCCACGCGCCGGCTCCCATCACAGCCAAAGCAGCAAGACCCAGCAGCAGCGCTCGCGCACTGGTGGAGTGAGCTAGCGCAGCAGGCAAACTCGGCAACAGACATGCTGCGAGACCAGGGCCTAACGTTATCCACGTCCGTTGCTCGGGCTTAGCCTTCAGCGCTACCCACAAACCGGCGGCGAGCAAAATCAACCCGAACGGCAGGGTATATGCCTCAACCAGGTCAACTTCACTGGCAATGAGCCGCAACACGTAGGCCAAGGCGCCGCACGCGGCAGCGATCCACAGGTACCAGTTGCGTTGCTTCGCGAGCAGCGAAATCAACGCCATCGCGGCGCCGATGACCATGAGCACGAAAGAGAGCTGGCTGAGCGTGCTTTCACCCGCGATCACCGCCAACCCCAGCACGGCTGCGACGCCACCGCCGACCTCGACGCCGAATGCGCCGAATGCGCGCGGCACTGCAAAGACAGCCAGCGCCAGCGCGATGAGCCCGACCGCGACCATCAACGCACCCGGCATATACCACGCCCGGTCAGTCGCCAGCATGCTCGGCGGAATCGTATTCGCTGCTGCCGTGAATGCCGCGCAACCAGCGAACACATCTCGGACCTCGACCTGTTTGATCCGTGGCACAGAGCCCGCGAACAGCAAAGCCAGCACTGGCCACACCCATAGCGCCACCTGCCACTGTTCGCCTGTGACGATCGCGGCAAGGACACCCAATGATGCCGCGACAAAGACGTACCACCAGCGGTCGGCGATGACGTACGCCAACACCAACGCGACGCCGGCTAGCGCGGCGATATAGATCGCGGCGTCGCTCGCGCTCGGCACGTGACCTGCAGCGAGGCTCAGCGAGACCACAGCAAGCATGGCGGCCGCGGTTTCGAGGCCCAATCGACCCGACCCGACCTCGAACATGCGTCCAGCGAGCAAAGTGAGAATTGCCGTGACCGCTACGCCTATCCAGGCGAGGTCGAGTCCCGAGAGCCCCATTCGGTCAGCGGCTAGTAACACCGCGGCGACCGCCCACCCGGCGCCGGCGAGCACCAACAGCTCACGCCAACAGGCGCGATCTGGCTTATTCGGCGGCACAATCAGAACCGATGCCAGCAGCAACACTGCCGCACTAGCCGGCCAGATGACCAGGCTCGCCTCCGCCGATCGCATCGCAGACAAACCGACCAAGCTCGACACGATCGCAGCCGCCGTGGCCAACGTCAGCGGGAACGTGTTGCCAGCGGCCGACTGCGGGCTCGATCCATCCGACGCCATTGACGCGGCGCGGGTTCGACGTGCCGCCACGATCCGCGTCAGCGCGAGCAAAGCCACACCGAGGCTCACATAGCACGCGGCAAACACGATGACCGGCGGCGCCAGTTGAGTCACCGTGGTCATGATCGTCACTGCGAGCACTACCGCGGTGGTCCCCACGAGTGCGTGAGAAGCCCGGCTGCGCAACAAGCGGGCGACCGCCAGACCGGCGCCGCCGATGCCTAGGCCCGCAACCGCTACTATCCAGGCGGGTTTGACGACATCACCGTGGACATCGATCCGATCCGTCATGTCTAAGGTGTCAAAGCCGACAACCGACCACCCCGTGGTCGCGGTCAACGCGATAGCACCGACAGTAACGACCGACACGAGGACGATCGCTGGAGTCGCCGCGACGACTGGGACCGCCCACGAGAAGTTGGTCTTCGCGGCCGCTCGACCAGCGCCAACTGCCACGAACAACAGCACTGCAGATAGCACGACTATGCCACGCAGGTTCCATTCGTGACCGATCGGCAGCGCAAGTAGTAGCAGCGCCCCGTATCCACCCGCGATACCGAACGTCATCGCGCCGAGGAGGCTACGGCGTAACAGGTAGCCCGCAATGCCGAAGGACACGGTCACAAGCAGCAGTGGCAAGCCTTGATAATCGCCGAGGAATCGAGTGACCTCGGGGTTGTCAGCAGCTTGCCCGAAAGCAAAGAGCGAGGCCACGAACCACGACAGCACCGCGACGACAAGCGTGACCACCGCGCCGACATCAAGACTGAGGCGTCTGAGCAGTAGCGTGGCGACAGCCGCGCCAATCGCCA